ACCCGAGGAACAAGCTACTGAGAAACCAGCTGCTGGAGGAGAAACACCCGAGGAACAAGCTACTGAGAAACCAGCTGCTGGAGAAGAAATGCCTGAGGAATCAGTCACTGAGAAACCAGTTACTGGAGAAGAGGTACCTGAGGAACCAGTCACTGAGAAACCAATTGCCGGTGTAGGGGAACCTGAGGAACAAGTCACTGAGAAACCAGCTACTGGAGAAGAAATGCCTGAAGAACAAGCAACTGAGAAAGTAATTTCTGAAGAACAAGCACCCGAGGAGCAAATGACTGAGAAATCAGTTTCTGGAGAGGAACAAGCTCCAACTACTGCAAAGGCTACGGAAAGTGAAGAGGAAGGTACATCGCAAATGCCAGTGAGCGAAGAAGCCAGTGAGAAACCTGTCACGGAGGAAGTTCTGAAGGAAACAGCTGCACCTGAAGTTGAAACTGCACCAGTAACTGAAGAGGGCGAAAAACCAACGGAAAGCACTTTAATGGTAGAAGTTCATCCTACAGTAGTTTCTGCTGAAGAAGCGAAACCAACAGAAGAGGAATCTTCCGAGCAACCATCTATTGAACAGACAGAAGGACCTTTGATCAAAGAACCATCGACTGTCGGCGGTGAAGAGGAACAAAAGACGGAGAAGCCAATGAAAGAAGAAGCGCAAACTGAAGCATCAATGGCTGAGGTGCCACTAACAGAGGAGTCAGTTACTGAAGCGGGTGCGGAGAAACAAGAAACTCAGGCTCCACTCGAGGAACAAAGACCAACTAAGCCTTCTGAGCGTAAAGAGGATGAACAGGGTGTGGAGAAACAACCGGAGGTAGAACAAAAACCGGAAGGCACTCAGGAGCCATCTCTTGAAGGAGAGAAGCCAACTGAAAAGCCTACAGAAGGAGAACCAGTAACTGAGATGGCCGCTGAAGGAGAGACGCCTAGTGAAGAACAGAAAACTGAGAAACCTGCCGAGGAAGAAAGGCCAACGGAAGAACCTGCTGAAGCGGAGAAACCAACTAAGGGAGCTGCGGAGGAAGAAAAACCAACTGAAGGTCCAGTCGAAGAAGAAAAGCCAACTGAAGGAGCTGCTGAGGAAGGAAGACCAACTGAAGGACCTGCCGAAGCAGAAAAGCCAACAGAAGGACC